TGTTAGATTCGTCGCCTTCGGTTCGATCTAAGGTCCGTGCTTCGGCATCGGTATCGGAAACTCTACCCAATTCCGACGATTTCCTTCCATACTCGGCAAGCTGCAGCTGGTTTGGGACTCTGCGAGGAGGATCACKTCATTGCCTTCACGAGCGGGATCACGTCCTCCATTACGAGCTTGTACAAAAGCTTAGAAGGCAACCCTATTAGCTACTGCACTATATGAATTGTACAGATTATATATTTAATTTATAGTTTGAATGGTTAGTCAGTTAGCTAAGGTTAGTTAATCTGTTAGCTAAGGTTAGTCTGTTAGATTAGCTGAGCTGGAATTTACTATGTGGCAGTTTTGTATAGGTCGGGTTCTTGTATAAATAGTCATCATGTATCTTGTATCTTGAATAGTTTTACGTTGAAGTAATACAGAAAAATTTTCTCTATCTTCTACTTTTCTTCTTCTCAAGAATTTTTCATGGTATCAGAGCAAATCGATCCAGATCTGCCTGTACCTCCATCTTGTTGATTCTTTTGAAGATTAGATAGTAGAGTTTTGTTTCTGTGTCAGCTGAAAGAATGGAAGTGATTGAAGATCCAGCGGTTGTGGTTGCACCTCAAACTGGAACAGCAACTGTGCACAAGGAAATGACAAGTACCTTTAATGGAGATCCAATGGCTTTGGCGAAGTTGGATCATCCAGGAATACAACTTGTCACGATTCCTTTAATAGGTAACAACTATTTGTCTTGGAGTAAATCGATTAAGATAGCCCTAGGAGCTAAGGCGAAGCTCAGATTCATCGATGGAAGGTGTGTGATGCCAGAAGAAGATTCTACTGATTATGATCAGTGGATTCGTGTGGATTGTATGATTAGATCATGGATCTTGAACTCTATTTCTAAGGAAATAGTGGAACCCTTTCTCTATGCATCAACTACTAGAGAACTTTGGTTGGAGTTGGAAGAAAGATTTGGTGAATCTAATGGACCGCAGATTTACCAGATCAAAAGAGAAATAAGTACTATTTCTCAAGGAAGTCAGTCGGTGGTGAAGTACTTCACAAAGCTGAAGAAACTGTGGGATGAATTGGTTTGTGTGCAGCCAATACCACAATGTACTTGTAAGAATTGTACATGTGGTGTTGCGAAGAATGTTTCAGATCTTGCTTGTTCTAACAGGCTAATGCAGTTTTTAATGGGCCTTAGTGATGATTTTGATCATGTGAGGAACCGGATCTTGGTGATGGAGCCCCTGCCTTCAGTCAACGAGGCTTATTCAATGATTTTGCGAGTTGAGAAGCAACGAGAGGTTCATCTTAACTTGGTTGAGAAAGTTGAGAACTCAACAATGTTTGTAAGAGCATCTATGGGAAGAGGATCTGATGCTAAAAGAGGAAAGCATAAGAAGTCAAGTTATAATGACAAAAAGAATGAGAAATATGAGAAGTTGTCTTGTGATCACTGTAGCATAGGCGGTTATACTAAGGATACATGCTTCAAATTGCATGGTTATTTAGAGTGGTATAAGGAACTTAAAGAGCAAAGAAGCAAGGTTACAGGAGGAAGAAATGTGGCAAATACGGCTGATAATCCTTTGGATGTTAACATGGATCGTGTTGTTGGCAAAACAACTGATCAACAAGTGTCTTTGTCAAAGATGATTCAGCAGGAATTGTCGAAGATGATGAAGGGAAGGGATACTATTGAAGGCAATCATGTTAACTTCGCACATGTTGAGGATTTTGCAGGTAAAATTCTAGTACTGCTTTTCATTTTTCTTTACATTCATTTGATAATTTGGATTGTGGAACATGTATAGTGGACACGGGTGCATCAAACCACATGTGCATYAACCCCAAACTACTTCATAAACTAAAACCAATAACACAAATTACTCCAATTTTTCTACCTGACGGATCTGTTAAACTTGTTCATCAAATAGGTAATATGCATCTTAGCCCTAAACCGACCTTGACCGATGCACTTTATGTCCCTAGTTTCAAATTTAACCTTCTTTCAGTAAGAAAACTTTCCAAGACTAAACAAATTAAATTTGTATTTCATCCTGACAAATGTATTCTGCAAGACCCTCAGACTAAAACTGTTCTAATAGTTGGTAAAGTGGTTGGGAATCTATACATTTTGGATAAATCTTCATTCCATGATCCTACATTTCTTGTTTCTTGTAATAATCAGATTACTTTGAATAAAGATTCTGAACTTTTGTGGCATAACAGGCTTGGTCATGCCTCATTGAAATCATTACAACAYAWTACCTTTTTAAATGGTATTGATACAACACTGCTTTCACCATGTGATGTTTGTCACAAATCAAAACAACATAGGTTGTCTTTTCCACTTAGCAATACTAGGTCAAATTCTATTTTTGATCTTCTGCACATAGACTTATGGGGACCTTACCATAAAGCTTCTATTACAGGAGCACATTACATGCTTACTGTGGTAGATGATTGTAATAGAGCTACTTGGGCCTTTTTACTTGCACATAAACATCAGACACTACAAATATTGAAAATTTTCTTTCAAATGGTGAAAAATCAATTTTAGAAATAGGTTAAATGCATTAGGACAAATAATGGTTCTGAATTTACTAGCAATGAATGTCAAAGTTTCTTGTCTCAGTTAGGAATTGTGCATCAAAAGAGTTGTGTTTATACTTCTCAACAAAATGGCATTGTTGAGAGGAAACATAAACACCTCTTACAAATAAATAGAGCTTTAATATTTTGGGCCAATATGCCTATAAAATTCAGGGGCCATTCTCTTTTAATGACAGTTTATATCATAAATAGATTACCTACTAGTCTTTTAGATTGGAAAACCCCTTATGAAGTGTTACATAACAAAAAACCAGATTATAGTCTACTTAAGTGTTTTGGTTGCTTATGCTATGCAACTAACACTAGGCCACATAAGGATAAATTTGAAGCCAGGGCATATAGGTGTGTTTTTGTAGGATTTGTCACAGGTTAGAAGGCATATAGAGTTTATGATTTAGATTCTCATCAGTTTTATACTTCTCGGGATGTGGTTTTTCATGAAAATGTATTTCCTTTTTTAAATGTTAATAATGATAGTAGTAAAGCATCATTACCTATTCCTTTTCATGATCCTATTCTCTTCGATTCAAATCATTTGTCAACAACTCCTTTAAAGCAGAATGTTGATTCTGCTATTGATCATATTCCTACTATTTCTCCTTCTACTACTATTGAATCTATCCATATTGAGATTATTTCAGATCCTATACAGCCTTTGAACCCCATTCAATCTTCATTTGACACACATCATTCAGATATTCCCATTCTTACTTTAAGGCATAGCACTAGACAAAAATTTAAACCAGCATGGATGAATGATTTTGTGTCTAATGTGATTGTTCTTACTAACTTGCCTACTGTTATTACAACTTCGAATACAACTACATCATCAGGTTCTTCAGCCTATACACCACCAACATTTCCCTACCATAAATCACCTATTTTCACAAACACTTATATATATCTTCTTTCCAATGTGTCCTCTGTTCCTGAACCTAGTTCATATTATCAAGCAAGAAAAAATGAAAAGTGGATTGAGGCTATAAACAAAGAGTTGCAGGCTTTTGAATCAAATAACACATGGGAGTTGGTTCCTCTGCCACCTAAAAAAAAGGCCATTGGGTCGAAGTGGGTTTACAAGGTAAAGTATTTGCTAGATGGTACCATTGATAGCTACAAAGCGAGGTTGGTAGCAAAAGGCTACCATCAAATTGAAGGAGTTGACTACAATGACAGCTTTTCTCCAGTAGCCAAGGTTGTTACAGTGAGGATATTTTTGGCTATTGCTATTGCCAAAAATTGGGCTTTGCATCAATTGGATATTAATAATGCTTTTTTACATGGTTATCTTGATGAGGAAGTTTTTATACAGCCTCCTCAGGGTTATACCAAAGCAAAACCACATGAAGTTAGTTTGTTGAAGAGGTCTCTATATGGTTTGAAGCAGGCTTCCCGCCAATGGAATGTTAAGTTTTGTGTTAAACTTCAAGCTTATGGATTTACACAGAGTGCACATGATCATTGCTTGTTTACAAAGAGCACATCAAGTTCTTTTTTAGCTTTGTTATTATATATCGATGATGTCCTTGTCACTGGCACTCATGAAAGTGAAATTCAAAAGGTTAAAAAATTTCTACATGATACATTTACTATCAAGCATATGGGGTTTGCTAAGTATTTTTTGGGCCTTGAGATTGCAAGAGGGTCAGGTGGCACTTTATTAACTAAAGGAAGTACGTGTTAGGCATTTTGCAAGATGCTGGTCTTCTTGGAGTAAAACCTGTTGTTACACCATTGCCAAAGGGGCAACATTTTTCTACTGCTGGTGTTCCATTGGATGAACCAGAGAAATATCGAAGGCTTGTTGGCAAGTTACTCTATCTCAATTTAACTAGGCCTGATATTACTCATGTTGTTCAATAGCTTAGCCAATTTGTTCAGTCTCCTACCAAGGCTCATTGGGAGGCAGCTCTTCACGTTCTCAAATACCTCAAGGGAACCCCTTCAAGAGGTTTATTCTTTCCATCTACAAATGATTTTTCTCTTAAAGCCTACTATGATGCAGACTGGGTGGCTTGTAAGGAGACTCATCGATCACTCACTGGCTACTGTATATCTCTAGGTTCTTCATTGATATTTTGGAAAACCAAGAAAAAATCCACTGTCAGCAAATCTTCAGCAGAAGCGGAATATCGCAGCCTTGCTACTACTGTTTGTGAGTTGCAGTGGATCAGTTACATATTACAAGAATTTCGAATCAGTTTTCCTTTGCTAATTCCTCTTCGGTGTGACAATTTAGTAGCATTGCATATTACTGCTAATCCGGTCTTCCATGAGCGTACTAAGCACCTGGAAATTGATTGCCACTTAGTGCGTGACAAGTATAAAGTTGGTTTCGTTCTTCCTAAACACATCTCTACAAAGTTATAGCTTGCAGATGTGTTTACTAAAAGTCTTGTTGGCCCTCAGTTCCATTCCATTGTTTCCAAGTTGGGCTTGGTTGATTTTCATCAACCCCAAACTCCAATTTGAGAGGAGGATGTACAGATTATATATTTAATTTATAGTTTGAATGGTTAGTCAGTTAGTATAGCTGTTAGTTTGTTGTACAAGTTGGTTAGTCTGTTAGATTAGTTGAGCTAGAGTTTACTACATGGCAGCTTTGTATAGGTCGGGTTCATGTATAAATAGTTATCATGTATCTTGTATCTTGAATAGTTTTACGTTGAAGTAATACGGAGAAGTAATACTGAGAAATTTCCTCTATCTTCCAGTTTTCTTCTTCTCAAGAATTTTTCATGAATTGGCTCATATCCCAAAGCCCGCTAAAACTGTAGTACGGTCCCCCATCCTCATCTCAGTTAGGGCATAGCAGACATACTAAAAGCAAGGAATGCTTCATTCAAGTTATGATTGTGTAATCAAAAAAATTATACAAATGCGCATTTCTAGAGTGTCATGAGTGGGATAAGGAGTTGATAGAGCTTTCCCTCTAGTTGACAAGACTTCTTATCCATAAAYTGTTCCTAGTGTGGCATGCCTTCCTCGAACAAAAGTAACTCGGAGCCTDCCATCCGATCTTGAAGATGAGCCCCGGGAAACGGGAGTGGCATACGAAAACTATTCCTCCCCACTAAAAAGAGCGATTGAGAGTGGATTTCAGGTTCRATAGTGTCGAGAAGGCCGGTGACCGTACTTTCGTAAAAGCACCATTGGGCGGTGGTTCCTCTCTTTCTTTCCTCTTGAACCTCGAACAAAAAATCAATATCGCCATCAGTTTGACTAAGAGTTCCGAATCGAAAAAGYAAACTGAACTTGACTTAAGACGAAGGAACTGAGTGCCGAAAAAAAAGACCAGTTTCTTAAGGCTTCAAACTACTAGTCATTATGATGGCTTGCGGATGATAGTAATAGTAAAAACAGTAAAAAAATATGATAGGAAAACAGAAGAGAACTTAATGGATCGAGAGAAAAGATTTGATCATCAAGTTGCATGTTTCATATATTTCTGTTAAAGATTTAGTTCGCCATGGTGGTTAGTACGGAGTAGACTGTGAAGCTTGTTCTGGTTCTGATTGTGTTGGCAAACTGGTTTGATCATGACCTTCTTCAATTCCTTGACTTGGTAATAGGGGCAAGTTGATAGTCTTCATTTCAACTTCTTTTGTCTACCAATTGTATGCAGCATCCTCGTCGAAGCTTATGTCTCGACTGATTATGAGTTTTTCTTTTCTTAAGCTATAGACTCGATAGCCTTTTGATTGAGTGCTACAGCCTAAGAAGATTCCTTTCTCAGTCTTCTCATCTAGTTTGCCTCTTTTCTCTTGTGGGACGTGTGTGTAGCATATGCACCCAAAAACTCTGAGATGCTTTGCTAATGGTTTTTGCCCACTCCAAGCTTCAATTGGTGTCTTGTCTTGCACAGATTTAGTTGGGCATCTGTTGTGCAGATAGACAATAGTGCTTACTGCCTCTGCCCAAAAAAATTTGGGAAGACCCTTTTCCATGAGCATGGCTCTTGTTGTCTCCATAACTATTCTATTTTTTCTTTTGGATACTCCATTTTGTTCTAGAGCGTACCCGACTATGAGTTGATGCTCCATGCCTCCATCTTCATAGAACTTGTCGAATTCATTAAAAGTATATTCTTTTCCTCTATCACTTCTTATGGTCTTGATGTTGTGACCACTTTGCTTCTCAACACGGGCTTTGATTTTTTAAAAACATAAAAAACTTGTGATTTTTCTCGCAAGAAATAAACCCATGTCATTCTAGTATAATCATCAATGAAGAGGATGAAATACCTATTTTGATTATTTGATGGAGTATGCATTGGACCACAAACATCTGTATGAATTAATTCTAGTGGCTCTTTGGCTCTCCAAGCCTTGCCGGATGGGAAGGGATGTCGATGTTGTTTTTCGAGCATACACCCTTCACAAACATTGTTGAACTCCTTGACAGCTGGTAGGTCATGCATCATGTTCTTCTACTGAAGAATCYTTAATCCATGGAAATTAAAGTGTTTGAATCTTCTATGCCATAGCCACGRCTCGTCCACTTGTGCTTGCATTGCTATATAATTTCCATATCTCTATTGAATGGGAAAACATCTGTTTTCTGTCATTTTTGTTTATGCAATTTTAAGGGACTTGTCATGCTTGTCATAGATTGTGCAAGAGTTTCCCTCAAAATGTAAAGAATAACCTCTTTCTATCATTTGGCCCACATTGAGTACATGATTTATGTATTTCTTGCCTTGTTTGGTGTCAACTATAATGGTACCTATGCCGGTTGCTTCCATGAAGTCGTCGTTACCAATTTTGACTTTTGTCTTGATTTTATCAAGACTATGAAAGATGCTTTCATTTTTAGTCATGTGGTTAAGATACCAAGTATCCTTTTTTTCTTCTATTGCAGAATGACAAGCACAAAAGAGATTATTTTCCTCATTTTTCTTTTCTGAAAAATTAGCTTGATGGGTTTTCTTGAATCTACAAACTTTTTCAATATGGCCAAATTTTTTACAGTTTTGGCACTGTGGTTTTCCTTTGAACCAACAATCATTCTCCAAGTGGTTTCTCTTCTTGCAAATACCACATGAAGAATASTTGTCATTATTTTCTTTTGGTTTTCCTTGTGACTTTCTTCCATCAACTTTTGTTTTATGAGACTGCCAATTAACTTTAGACTGAAAGGCAGCTTCAACCGAATTTTCATTCTGCTTGTCACGCCTATTTTCATATGTCTCGAGAGTGCCCATCAATTCAGTTGGTGATAGTGTTTCTAGACCCTTTGTTTCTTCTATCACTGAAATTATTGGATCATATCTCTCTGTACAAGAGATTAGAATTTTTTTGACTATTTTCTTATCGGAAATAGTCTCCCTATAGGCTCTCATTTGATTTACTATTTCTTTTATTCTAGAATAGTAATCTTTTGCAGTCTCAATATCCTTCATCTTAAGATTTTCAAAATCTCTTCTAAACTTCTGCAATTTAACAGTGCGTACCTTGACAGATCCTTGAAACTCCAACTGCAGTGTATCCCATGCTTCTTTTGCAGTTGATGCGCCCATGATTTGAGGAAATATCTCCTCAGCCATTGCGTGTTGCAAACAGGATAGTGCTTGACAATCTTTTTGTTGATTCTCTTCATAGATCTTCTTTTGATTTGCTGAAAGAGTAGAGGTGTCTTCAGCAATGCAGAATCCTTCCTCAATGATTCTCCGTAAACTTTGTGACCGAAAATAGGTCTTCATTTTGATGGACCAGAAGTCATAGTTTTCTCCATTGAAGATTGGAAGAGAAAGGGTGGAACGATTGGCTTCTACACACATTATGTTTAGAAGAAATCATGCCCAAGAGATTGATCGAACGAGCTCTGATACCACTGATGGTTTGCGGATGATAGTAACAGTAAAAACAGTAAAAAAATATGATAGGAAAACATAAGAGAACTTAGTGGATCGAGAGAAAAGATTTGAAGTTGTATTCTGATATTTTTCTCTGATAAACTGAAGCAGTACAGAAGGGGGATATATATAGTAGATGGAATCGGTTGAAGGTGAACCGACATACATTGAACTGAGACTCACATTAACTCACCTTGGGACAGGTATCGACCGACTTTGGAACTAATTAACTTTGGAAGATACAATGACTTTCACTGGAATGAAACAAACATTGGAAGGGGCTTAACTTTACTGTTATTCGAGGGGACTGATTCAATGACTTCTGGAAATGTGAAGCAACATTTAATACATTAAGACTACTATGAAAGAAAAGTAAGAAACTCCTTTCACTTAGAAGTTTTGCCTGCGTGCATTATACCTACCCCTTTTTTAAAGAACTTGATTTCAATCTCAACAAAGAAATGAAAGCATAACTCTTTGCTTGTTGTCCTCTTACTCTTTTAGCCTGCCTTGTGGAGGTCTCTCGGGTGTCTACGGCAGATCCGATCAGTCTCGTGATGAAGAGAAGTCTTTTCCGATCTTCCACTAAGAAAGGTATCGTTACGACCAGGTCTCGGGGCTTCCACTGCTTGGGAGATTTTCTCTTCATCCGGGGGTTCATTTCATTCRTTATGAACTCAAAAGTGTAAGGCTGATTAGTGAGGTCTTAAAAACTTCATACAATGAATGATCAACCATTCCATTTGTACTTTCAGTAAGTAGGCAACGCGAATCTATGGTTTCTATGTTGCAATCAGATACCAATTGCTTGGATGCRTTTGAAAGCCTCGAGATGACTCTTGCAGAAAAAATTCTTTCTAGTTGGGAAAGGTTTGTCTTGTGTCTCCATAACAAATGGTCCATTTATTGACGGGCGAACGACAGGGATTGAACCCGCACGTGGTGGATTCACAATTGACTGCCTTGATCCACTTGGCTACATCCGCCCCTACCCCTGCACAGGTTTAAGTCTCTATCTACGATCAGATCCTTTCTGAACCCCCCTATGATCGCTATCAAAGAGAAGCTTTTTCCCATACTATAGTTGCAAGTCTATTGTTGTGTTTCGGAATTAGGGGGCTTCAACAAGCAAGTAGAAGCAAAGCTTCAAACAAAGAGGTTGGGCCATTGATTTGACTTCACTTTACTTAAGATTAAAGATAGGGGCCGGGCGGGCAGTGAAGGCTCGTTTAGTAGACAGCGAGCGAGCAGCAAGCTACGGCGAAAAGCAGCGAGCTCCGCTTTCAGAAGCGAGCCAGAGTAGCGCGCTAGCCTTTTTCCGCAGGCTGCTCTACTAGTTGTAGCGCGCTAGAGCGCAGAGACTCTATCATGATCTTACGAATCTACAATTCTCTTTACTTTGTTTTTGTTTTGTTCGTGGACAAACGATTTTCGGTCAAGCCTATGGATGGATCCTTTTAGATCTACGGGCCGGCCGGCCCCGACCGTTCACATGAGCATAGGGAATCTATACTCGAGYGTTCGACTGGGCCCCTGACAGGAGTGTAAGATATCACTATGTTAATAGTTAGTTCCGTGATTTTAGGTCATTCTAGTAAATGTGCACATTCGTTGTATGTCAAAATTTTAAATTATAATAACAATCATTATTATTTTTATTATTATTGTTGTTGTTGTTAATATTTTGTTTAATTTTATATTCTATTTCCGTCAATAATAAAAATAATTTTTATCATAACATTCATTTTATTTAATATTATGAATATATAACATTAGAAGTGATGAGGGGTAATTTGGCCCGACCTTCTAGCACGCAGACACATGGAAGCAATCTGCTGACTAGACGATGATTCAGCAGTCCCTACCACCTTAGTGAGCCAAGTTAGTTCGGGTACCTCGAGCACCTCAACAAAGACCAAGGTCTGAGCAGCTCGTAATGGCCCAACTTGCTAAGCTGACACGTAGCCAGCTTCTATAAGCTAGCCAGCAGTCTCCAACCTCTATAGGATCACGTCGCACGTCTACAAGCCTTATCCTTATCCCGCCCAGAGACTCGATAAACCTTATCTGCTCACACGAAGTCCACCTCCAAGTGCATGGGCCAGGAATCTTGGAGGTGTTATGTAAGACCTACGGCAACTCACCTATATAAGGTTTTAAACCAAAATGCTACAAGGTATGTGCGAATATTGCTCACTAGCTCTTTGCTTACAAGCTCTTCAACTTGCAAAAAACAATGCTAACTTAAGCATCAAAGTGCCCACACTAGGTAAGCCACCCCGGGTCCTCTAATTGATTGGCCAACCAAGCGAACCAACATCCAAGCTACCATCCAGCTAGGAGCATCCAGATTGTGCATCATCAAGAGGTGTTCTCAAATGTTTTCAACAAAATTTCATTTTTCATTTTTTGTATTCTATCTTTTTTTAAATATTTATTATTCAATTATGACATCATAAGTTGATTCAAAAAGTAGAATCCTTGGCCCACCATTTAAAAACGAAAATTGCTTTGCTTTCAAACCAGTTTTAAATTATATATTTCATCCACATTATATATATGCATGTATGTATGTATGTATGTATGTATGTATGTATGTATGTATGTATGAATGTATGAATGTATATATATATATATATAATATTAGAAATGTGTCTAAATTTTTCTATAATTTTAATATTTTTGTGATTCTTTGTACTTTTTCTTATACAAAAAAAATATTATTTAACTATCACATCATTGATTAATCTAGTTGACCCAAACCAACAACACACCACCCAAAAAGGGAAAGGGTTTGATTTCTAAGTTGACTATAAATCTTGTATTACATTTACAACATTGATAAAATCAACCCTTATGTATAACACTTATTTTTTGTTCAACATAATACATGTATAATATTAGAGATGTGCCCAATGTTTTATTTTTCTATAAAATATATAACATTAGATGTATGCCCAAATTTTCTCTACTTTTTCTTTATTTTTGGGAAAAGTTTTATTATTTGACTGACATCATTTCATTTCTAAGTTGAGTTTAAATTATGCATTCTATTATCAATCATTAATAAAAATACTTCTTACATCTCATAGTTATTGTTGTTTAATATAATGAACATATAATACCGAAGATATACTTAATTCCTTTAATTTTTTTATATTTTATATTTTATTTTTTTATTTTCTAATTAGCAATATTGATTAACCCATTTGACTCAAATGGTTGAATTGCTCACCCATCACCAAGAGGGAAGAAAATGGATTTGTTTTCAAATTACTTTTCAACATATTTATTTTTATATTGTTAAAATTAATGTTGTAGATTTAATTAGTAGAATTTTAATATAAGAAAAAATATATCTTATACATAGGATTTAATGATACTATGAGAAAATGTATACCTTAGATATGATACTCGAGAGAATAGAAAAATAGTTTTATTTGCAATTGGTTTTAAATTTTATATTCCATTTCCATCATTGATAAAATATTTCTTATTTATCATACTTATTCTTGTTTAATATGACAAGTATATGAAATTAAAGATGTTCTCAATTTTTTCTTTAAATTCCATTTTGCATTTTTGTCTATTTTTAAATTCCTATTGTTTGATTTTAACAACAAGGATTGGCCGATTTAACCCAAAATAGTATAATTTTCTACCACTACCTAGATGAAAATATTGATTTTTCCAAATCAATTTTAAAAGTATAAGTTGTTGTGCCATTGGAATAATTATCATATATGAATTTAATTAGTGGAGTTTAGTGATGAACAAAAAACTGCCTTAAATATATGATACAATGAGGGTGAATGGGAGTTAATACCTTAAGTGGGAATTGAATGCAATGAATAATAGTATTCACATTACATTTTTCACCCTCACAACAAAGAAGGACCTTATTTCAAAAAAAAAAGGATATTTTAATCAAGAAAATTTTCAAAAATCTTAAACCCTATTTGTACTTTTATCATGGTTTAAAAAACCAACCCAGAAACAGAATCATTTTGGCCACTAATTTCCAGGTTAGCAGCTCAACTCTCTAAGTCTCAGTCCTTTCCCCCATCTCTTGATCTCATCTTTTTCTGTTTAATAAGAGGGATTTGAATGAGGAAAAAAGTGCTTATTCAAATTACATTTTTATCCTTACAAATAAAAAGCAACCAAATTCAAAAACTTATCTATTTTAATCAAATAAATGTTGTAATTTAAATATGATAGTGTTTGATATCACCGTGTCTTTTGTACTGTTTCATTTAGGGCTAAATGCATGATACCAAGTGCATTAATTTAGATGTTGTTCTCATTTAATATTGCAAGGTATTTTACAACCCTTTCACTTCAGGTTATCAAACTTGATTTTCATTCGTTTAGATTGAATCGCCTACGTTGAACTAAGGTGGCCCCAAACAGAAACACAATATCACCATACCAAATGCCCCCAATGATTCTTGTGCTTTTCAGTTTTTCAAGGTTCTTTCAAAAAATGTTTTTTGATGGTTGGAAAAATTATTTTAACCAATATCGGTGATGATGTCAAACTATTATTTTAAAAGGGTCAGCATATAAATGGATGGGATATGGAATTATAGATCCACCACTATCCAATGCAAGATGATCAAATTTGATCTCATTTAATTTAAAATTTATATTATATTTATCGGTTAGTTTGATTGCTTGTCATTGGTTCAAGTAATATAAAATTATTTTTTAATATATTTTGTTATTGATATGCAATATCAATGCCATTTTAAGTTTATTTTATTGCTAATATCTAATATTTTTACGAGATGCAGTGTTAGCGACATTTACAGCATCCAAATAGTGTCCACACCCTGATGAAAATATTTTTACGCCACTCTTTCTTTCAAATGTTTTCAAGACAAGACAAGATCTCTTGATGAAAATAAAAATAGTGTCCACACCCTGAGAATACAGCATCCAAATACACATTAGGAATATTTTCTTTATACTTAAAATCATGCGGAGATATTCCCAATGTGCAGATGGATGCCATGCTCTCATGTTGTATATATAATTTGTTGCTTTCAGGAGATCATATCGATCTTTACCTCCAATACATCTCAAAAAAAAAAAAAAAAGATAAAAGACTTAAGCATTCCCTCAGCTTTTAGAAATTGTCTTGAACATACTCAGAGGCTTTCAAAGAGACTTAAGTATACCTTATAGGCTGATTCTATTGGACTTAAATATACCCTCCATCTGTGAAATGTCATATGCAAATACATAAAAATTTTTTTAAATCCTATTTTACCTTCCTATATTCTCTTTAGGCTGCGTTTAGTAGAGGTGTAAATGAGAACCGCGGTAAACTTTACACCCCGGGTTTGATTTCGTAGGCATTTGGTAGAGGTGTTAATATACCTCATCAATCGCTGTAAAAGTCCATTCTTGTCAGAAAATTCGTATCCCATGATCTGTCCATTGCCCCTTCTGCCGGGGCAAGGTTCTTTCGAGACAAGGTTATCTATTCATCACCTTCCTCCGATGAGAACAGTGAGGCGGCGACAGCAGTGGTTGACCGTCGGAGGAAGATGATGGCGAGGCATAGCCCCTTCTGCCATGGTTGACCATCGGTGACAACAGTGGTTGCTGGGGCAAGAACCGATCTGTCAGTTGCCCCTTCTGTCGGGGCAAGGTTTTTTTGAGACAGGATTATCTATTCATCATCTTCCTCCGACGAGAACAGAGAGGCGGCAACAGCAGTGGTTAACCGTTGGAGGAAGATGATGGTGGGGCGTAGCCCCTTCTACCGTGGTTGACCGTCGGCGACAGCAGTGGTTGTCTGGGCAAGAACCGGTTGGTCATGCTCTATACCCATATCCTCTAAGGTTTAACTCCTCTTGACCTGAATATCCTTAGTCTCTCTCCTTCTCTACCACTTTTGTATTTGCCATGGTTCCCCAATTGACTACTGTGAGTGGCCATGGCATCGCCTTGGCTTTCTCGCCATTCATGGGGTTCCCAGATGCCGTGGCAAATCAGTACCTAGGACTGTTCAATGAAACCAACAATGGAGACTTCTCCAATCATGTTTTCGCCGTAGAGCTACACACAATTCTTAGCCCCAAATTTGCTAATATATATGATAATCATGTCGAGATCGACATGAACAACCTTCAGTCGATTGAATCAATTCTAGCGGCTTATTATTCAAGCAAAGAAGAGATCAACAAGAGCCTGCACCTCATAAGCGGAGATCCAATGCAAGTTTGGATAGAGTATGATGGTGTAGAAAAGCAACTCAATGTAACATTAGCTCCACTTTATTACCCCAAACCTGAGATTCCCCTATTGTCGACATCACTTGATCTTTCTTCGGTTTTCATGGACTCTGTGTATGTGGGTTTCTCTTCGTCCACTGGTGCAATTGCAAGCTCCCATTATATTCTTGGATGGAGCTTCAACAGAAGCGACCAAGCACAAGAACTGCGTCTCTTGTTGCAACCCCCGGTCACTAGTTTCTGCGTATGATACGCCGCTCACCGCCACTTGTGGTGCTCTATTTCTTGGCTGACCGGCAAGGACTACAAGGAATTTTACCTCAATGATTTACCAAACGTGAAAAGTGTAAAATGGAACAAAGTTCCCATTTTACACTCTCATGAACCCATCAGTGTAATAATCCTCGGTGTAAATTTAGCTTTACACCGCGAATAAACGTAGCCTTAATAGATAAAACCTTGTTCTGAAACATGAGTATGTTTGGTCATGTTTACTAGGAAAACCTAGACACAGTTATCGTGATGATACAACTAGAATTTTTCTCTTCTAGGTGAACATACAACCTAATATGCCCCCCACCAAGGATAGAGTTTAATGAACAATATCAATATATATAACACATACACCTGGGTTTGAAAATTTTGGGTCAATTGAATACTTCATTTAATATACTCATCAGTATTTAAACATATTACAGGAGTTTTGATACAAGTGGCAACCTTGAGGTAGGATAAGATAAGATGAAGTACAAAGAGAGATAAGTACAGTTAGAGATAAAGATAAAGATGGAAAGGGGTGAGGAATGAGGATGGAAGAAAGAGCCAGAGTCTTCAACTGTGTTGGATTCACATAGGTGTGGCGTACATGTAATACTCCCCCTCAAGTTGAACCTAGAGCAAAAATAGATTGGACCAACTTGCAACATAGGTGTTGGAAGGCGTCTTTGCCCAATTCTTTGGTGAAAATGTCAGCCACTTGAGAAGAAGAATTAATGTTGACTGGCTGAATAAGATCATTTTGAACCTTTTTGCAAATGAAATGATAGTCCAACACTATATGTTTTGTTCGCTCATGAAAAGTTGGATTCTTAGCCATGGAAATAGTAGCCTGACTGTCACAAAAAGTGGTTGTGAATGGGAGTGAGATACCGAGGTCATGAAGTGAATAATGGAGCCATTGCATTTCACAAGCTATGTCGACCATAGAACGGTACTCCGCTTCTACCAAAGAACGCGATACAGAGGATTGCTTTTTAAATTTTCATGTAATTGGACTGGAACCAAGAAAGATCTAATACCCAATGATAGAGCGTCGAGTGGCGGTGCAGCCACCCCTATCACTATCTGTGTAAGCATAAAGAGTCAGCTTGCTTGAGGATGACAATAGAACACCAGTGCCCACCGCTCCTTTGATGTAGCGCCAAATGTGCAAACTAGCATGCCAATGAGTGATACATGGAACACTGAGAAATTGACTAAGGTGGTTAACAACAAACACTAGATTCGGGCGCATGATAGTGAGATACTGTAAGCGCCCAATGAGTGGCCGAAACGGGCCTGGATCCTGAAGTAAAGGGTTGTCATCGGTGTTCAACTTGTTTTGTTGTTGGAGAGGAAAATCTGCTGACTTTGCACCTTGGAGATCAATATCATTAAGTATATCAAGTGCATATTTCTGTTGGCAAAGAAAGATGCCAACAGCGGACCGGGCCACTTCAATGCTGAGAAAATACTTGAGGGGACCAAGGTCCTTGAGGTGAAACTTGGAATTGATCGAGGAAGTGTTTCAACTGAGATATGTGAGAATCATCATTTCCTACCAAGATAACATCATCGACATAGACAAGAACAACAGTAAACAAGGATCCATGTTGATAAGCAAATAGAGTGTAATCAGCTTTGGATTGGGAAAAGCCTGCCTCAAGTAGGGCACTAGAGAACTTAGCAAACCAATTCCTGGAGGCTTGTTTTAGTCCGAATAAGGATTTTTTTAATTTGCACACACGTTGCTCCCCCTTGCGTGCAAAACCTGGTGGAAGATGCATATAGACGTCTTCATCTAAATCTCCGTGTAGGAAAGCATTATGCACATCAAGTTGAAAGACATGCCAATTCTTTATGGCTGCCACTGCAAGTAGGCGATGTACAATACCCATCTTTGCAACGGGTGTGGAGGTTTTAGTGTAATCTATACCTTCAGCATGGGTAAAACCTTTGGCCACCAAGCAAGCCTTGTAGTGCTTGACGGAACCATCAGCCTTAAATTTTACCTTGTATACCCACTTGCACCCAATAGCATGTTTGTCGGGAGGTAAGCCAGTGGTGGTGCAAGTATTATTGGTCTCAAGAGCCTTAATTTCACAAGCCATGGCATCACGCCAGCGTGGATCCTTGACAGCCTCGGAGAAGGATGTAGGCTCATGGTGGGTATCAACTGATGAAAGGAAAACCATGTATTTTGGGTGAATACGGGAGTAGGACAAATAATGAGAAATGGGATATGGTGTACCTACTGTGTGTGTGTGTGTGTGTGTGTGTGTGTGATGGTGATGGACTAGAGTTCTACTATGCGTGGCAGCAATAGTCATCAAGATAGAGTGGTGCCCGGCGGTCTCTAGAGGAGCGGCGCACAGGTGGGTCAGGAGGGTCAAGAACAACAGTAGTGGATTCAGGTGAGGTTTGAAGTGGTTCAGGAATTGATGGGGAGTTTAAAGTGCTAGTACGAAGTGAACTCTCATTACCATTTGAAACTTTGTCAGGGGTAGGTAAGGGAAGGGTTGGTGTGACGCTTGCAGTTGGTAAAGAGGAGTGTTGTGCAAAGGGGAAAATATGTTCATGGAAGACCACATCACGACTAGTAAAACCATTATGGGTGTCAAGGTCAAGAAGTTTTTAGGCCTTTTGACCATGTGGGTATCCTATTAGAATGCAGCAAAGCGCTCGTGGGCCAAATTTGTCATGGGACAGATGACCAATGGAAGCATAGCAGAGGCAACCAATGACCCAAAGATGATCAATGCAGGGTGGCTTCCCATGGAGCAGCTCATGTGGAGTTTGCCAATTTAGCAGTGGCATGGGTGTACAATTAATTAAGAGTGTTGCAGTAAGAACACAGTCCCCCCAAAACTGAAGCAGAAATTTGGCTTGGAAACAAAGAGCCCAAGCTACGATGATAATGAATGATACCATGGTGATTCAAAAAATCTAACATGGGCTGAGGAAAAAACTCAAGTCCATTATCACTATGAGGTGATTTGATGGTTGTGTGAAATTGGTTGGCAACAAGTGCAGAAAGAAAAAATGGAAGAGGGAAAGGGTTTCAGATTTGAAGCACATTAAGAAAACCCATGTGCAAATCATACTAGCATAAGGTCCCCATATGTCACAATGAACAAGTTCGAATAGTGCATGAGTGGAAATCATGCTAGCATTAAATGGTAAGCGAGTTTGTTTTGCAAGAGGGCAACCATCACAATGAGAATGCAAATTCACACTAGGTAGAGAAAGAAATAGTTGACAAAACTTATTTCAACGAGTTGCAGAAGGATGGCCTAGGCGTTGATGCCAAATCTTGGAGTCATGATGATTGGTGAACATGGAGGCTAGTGGGTTATGTTGGCTAGAGATGGGCTGATCACAGTCAAGGTAGTAGAGGTTGTCATGTTCACTCCCCCGTCTAATCACTGTCTTGGTTGTGAGGTCCTGAAAAAGGCAATAGTTATGATAGAAAGTGACAGAACAATTGAGAGCAGATGTGAGTTTATTGACTGATAATAAATTAAATTTAAAATTGGGTAGGTAAAGGACAATATCAAGATGCTTGTGCTTATTAAGGGAAACAGAACCAATGGATGCTACTTTGGAAGTACTACCATCAGGTAGAGTGATGGGTGCAAGGGCTATTGTAGGGGGGGTGTGTATTCTTGAGAATTTCTTGGGTAGAAACCATGTGGTCGATGGCTCTAGTGTCAATGACCCAGGTGGAATTAGACCAAGCTTGTGAGAGAGGGCAAGAAGAACCTGTGAAGTTTGCTATGGAGGGACCAGACTTTATCTCATTAAAGAGCTTGATGAGCTAATTGTACTATTTGAAAGTCAATTGAGGAACAGTGGTATTGTTGGAGGTTCCTGGTGAATCTGTTGTGCTTTGCTGTTGTGGCTTGTTGTCATTTCCATGACGATTCCCTTTCAGGTGAGGGGGATAACCATTTAATTTATAACATACCTCTCGGGTGTGACCAAAGATGTTGCAGTAACTACACCTCTCTTTGCTTTTAGGATTGCCACGGTTGGAATTGGCAATATTTGCAATGGATGTTTTCTCATCGAGTGCCTTTGCAATCAAACCGCTTCCTTCAATGGTGTTGGACTGAGAAGGTACAAGTCTATGTGTTTCATCTTGTAAAACTAGTGAATAGGCCTTACTAATGGAGGGCAGTGGATCCATCAACAATATTTGGAACCGAACATTGGAGTATGTGTCATTTAGTCCCATAAGGAACTGCATAAGTTGGGTTTGTTGTAGATAGGTGGAAAACTCCTTTGAATCCGAACAAGTGCAGGATAGTGGTGGTGCATAAGTTGTGAGTTCATCCCAATGTCCTTTGAGGGTGTTGTAGTAGACTGCAATAGATTGAGAATGTTGTTGTAATGTGGCTATAGACCTCTGTAACTGATAGATCCTGGAGCCATTGCAAAGTGAAAAACACTCTTTGAGATCACTCCAAACATCAATGGCTGATTCTACATAAAGAACGTTGGGTGCCAGGTCTTTATGAGTTGCATTTAAGATCCAAGATAGGACCATATTGTTGGCTTTCAGCCAAGCTCAAAAATTTGCATCGATGTTGTTTGGTTTCTCAATGCTCCCATCTACAAAGCCCAATTTGTTCTTTGCTAATAATGCCATTGTCATGGCACGAGACCAAGAAATGTAGTCTCACCAGTGAGAACATTGGTAACAAGGATCATTCCAGGATTGTCGTAATGATGAAGGTAATATGGCTACTGGGGTCATTGGTGTCAGCTGGATTTTGGGTTTGTGAAGGAATGCTGGAAGCCATGGATCGAGCCTGGGAATTGGGGCTCTGGTACCATGAAAAATCTGGGTTAATCGAATACTTCATTCAGTATACTCATCAGTATTTAAAGATATTATAGGAGTTTTGATACAAGTGACAACCTTGAGGTAGGATAAGATAAGATGAAGTACAGGGAGAGATAAGTACAGTTAAAGATAAAGATAAAGATGGAATGGGGTTAGGAATGAGGATGGAAGAAAGAGCTGGAGTCTTCAACTGTGTTGGATTCACATAGGTGACGTACACGTAATAGGGTTCAACTGAACAGTGAGTAAACATGACTGTTCAACCCAGGTGAATCACAAAACTCAGTTTTCCCAGAAGAGAATACCACTACAACTGTTCAACCCAGGCGAAGCATGAAACTTAGCTCAAACGAATAATAACCGATATAATAAACCCTGAAGGGTCGCTGAAATAAATTTGTAGGACTTGAAATCGCTGAAATAAATAAACTTAGGCT